CTCCCTCTGGATTGTAAGCTATCAGAGGTGCACCAAATCGACGTTTGGGAGCCCCCAACCAGCCTAATGAGGTCACATTTGCTTTGACATACTTGCTGGAAACACCAACGTGGCCACATTGGCCCGCACCTCTTTCATCTCTATGATAAGCCGTGGCATGGAGCACGACATAGTGTCTTGAAAATAGGACAAACTCCTCCCATTCATCGAAAGGTTCAACGTCGTCAAGGGCAGCTCTTTCGGTTGAGTCAAGAAACAAATCGCTATTCCAGGCCTCCCAAAGGTCCCAGACATCGACGCTGCTCCAACCTCGTTCCTGAAATCGACGGCGCTGGCTTTCGACGGTTGGGTATTCGTCGACCGATTTTAGGGATGTATTGAGTTTATTAAAATGCTTCAGCATTGTGCTGGCAAAGGGGTGTTCAGGCCCGTGGGGAAGAATCTGTTCCAGAAGGCAGAACTCGGCTTGTTTTCGATCAGTTTTAATTGTACCATTCCGACAGCAACTTTGAGATTTCTTACCTTGTCCAATAGAGCTAGCCCATTGAACCAGAGCATCGGCCGAGAATGTGTCCATGTAAGTTATGGATACTTCGGCAACAAACAGCACAGAACATTCACACAAGTTCAAGAATGACTCGAGGCATTTTCGAAGAGACTCCAGTTCCCTGAGATCACAGCCAATCTGGCAATACTTGTCGCTACGCAGGAGTATCTGATCCGTGACATTTTCGCTGATGGCCGGACTGTCACCCAGCAACTCATGTAGCTGCGGTGTTCCGAGAACAATAGCCCGCTTCTTGAGCATGAGATCCGGGTAGTCGACATCGATGAATAATGTGTTCTCGCAAGAGTCACCATAGCGATGGTACGACTGCCACGGAAGAACATCGCTGTGAACGTGTCTGAGCATACACATCTCGAGGGGAAGTGGGATAGTTGGTGACTCACCTTCCTGCTCCCAGGTTGATAACCACCTTCCTGCGCCCAGACTTCGGTGAGGTGACGAATTGGCGGACGATCACATCAATGGCTCTGAGCCTTAGCCAGTAACCACGGTTGATAAGAGGGGCTCTTCGTTGGAACTTGTTCACGAAGTAACGGAAAAAGTGCAGTTCATCTGGGTAGTAGAGTCTTTCTACGCTCCGCTTGGAAACAATGCTACTGCTATTTGTCTACAGAAGTGCAAATTTCAGCTCAGCATATGAATGGTTCGAGATGCGGTGATAAGTGAAAGACGTACCCCCATTATCAGGTCGTCCAGAGCTTGAGTCCTGGTCATTTTCGTGGACGGGGGGTTTCCTTTGGCCATGTTGATGAGGCGATGCCAGCAACACGAAGTCAAACGCCCAATGAATGCAGAAGATCCTAACTGTTAATCCGGTATCAAAAATATCATTTGCCGAACATGGGTAGATGCCAAGGATACAAATGTAAAGACATTCAATCCATAGATAGAATCAATGTAAAGAAAGAATTGTTAGTGAATTGTGCCCGTCGTAATTCTTTTAGGTCTAAGGTAGCGTTAGGTGAGGAACGTCCAAGGCACCCACCTAGGTACCTTAGTACTTAAGGTAGTAGGTTGACTGCACCTCATGGTAGTAGTAAGGTACCTAGCTGACCAGGTTGGCTTAGCGGTTGAACCGCTTTCATGATAACGATTGGTGTGTGACATGCGGAAAATCGACGTCACACGCTAAAAAAGGCATCAGGATGACCGGGCTGCCTGGCATCGTGATCTTAACCCTAGGTAAGGCCGTCTTGCTGTTCTTTTTTAGATATATCAGGCGTCAATTGATCCTTTCTACTGGCTTTGTGCTCCCAGAAACGAACATTCATTGCGCTTCTCTCACTCCATCACGGTTGCTGTTCCTAATTCTGTGGTTTTGATCTGCTTACAGCAAGGTGCCTGCCTGTTGACTCTTTGCCGACTGGTTGGTAGTGCAGTTCCCTTTAGGGAATTAGTGCATGTGAAGCTCCCCCTCTTCCAGCTCCAGTTTGTCTCTTCATCCACAGTGGAAGTTAAGGTTTGGGGGAAGTACCTATTGGATAGATGCAGGGTACCTCTGCGTAGGTAGGTACTTACTTTACCTTTGGTACTTACCTAGCAAAGTTAGTAGCTTCCTCCCAGTCTCACTGTCCTCTATCAACACCATTGCTACTGATTCATATCAGACCGTGAACTCAGACTACCTATTGCATATCGGCCTGGACTGCTTCGATCTGAGCACGCAAGGCAGTTCACGCTTACACCCGTACTCATCACTGTTCGCCTATTGTCGTTTGCGGTCACCTGAACGGCGTCCCCCCCACCGACGCCATCCATTTGATTGTTGCAGCGCGCTCCACGAACGGTCATTCCCAACCTCTTGATCTCAACCAAAGTTGTCAACCTAGCCCCGAGAACCACGTACTCGTGTCATGTTGAGCAATCTGCATTAACATACGCTGCAAGGTACCGACCGACCTGCAATTGTTCGCCGGCTGCCTCTGTCGCATTGCTTTCCCCTTCGCGCCTGGACAATCAATATCGCAAAGCAAAGGCTCGGTCCTATCTTGCTTGCCGAAATCGCATACAATACTCCTCGCAATCGTATTTGTCGCAACTGGATTTCTGTGACATATAGATACACGCCATGACTACTCCCACCCTCAATTTCATCACTTTCAACCAAGACCACAGCTGTCTTGCTGTTGGTATGGCCGCTTCCCTTCCCTGGCACCGTGTGGCGATAGCTAACTGCGCTTCTTCTTGGTAGGTACTTCCAAGGGCTTTCGCATCTACCATACCGATCCTTTCTCTCGAATCTTCAGCAGCGACGATGGCAACATTGCTATTATAGAGATGCTGTTCTCTACCTCCCTCGTCGCTCTCATTCTTTCTCCTCGCCATCTCATAATTCAGAATACTAAGGTACCGGAACTCTGATTGTCAAAGGGGATTGCATTGCTCACAAATGGACTAGAGAGCATCTGTCATTTGCGAACTTACCTTTCCCTCCGCTGTCCTAGCTGTCCGATTGAACCGAAAGCGCCTGGCGGTGGTTCTTGAGGATGAAATATACCTCTACGATATTAGCAACATGAGCCTCCTGCATACGATCCCGACTTCGCCGAATCCTTCTGCTATATGCGCCCTCTCACCTTCCTCCGAGAATTGTTTCATCGCCTATCCCCTGCCCAAGCCTCGAGAAGATCCCGACGCCCGACGCCCTGCTCACGCACCTCCTCACTCGGCCTTTGTTGCGCCTACGTCAGGCGAAGTGTTGGTCTTCGATACTCTTACCCTGAAAGCTGTGAACGTCATCGAGGCGCATCGCTCGCCGTTATGCTGCATCTGTCTCAATAATGAGGGTACTCTGCTCGCTACAGCCAGCGAGACAGGCACTATCATTCGTGTCTTTTCGGTACCAAAGGGCCAAAAGCTATATCAATTTCGACGTGGAACCTACCCATCCACTATCTACAGCATGTCATTTAATCTGAGCTCGACGCTATTATGTGTCTCTTCGACTTCAGATACGGTTCATATCTTCCGACTTGGAGCCCCTCCAGGAAACAATACACCGGCTGGGGCGCCCATTGAATCCCCGGGCTCACAGCGGCAGGATCGTTGGTCTCGAGCAAGGAGCTTCGATGACTCCGAATCCCCAGGTACCAGTGCAGGCGACTCGCCCAAGAACGAATCTTCTGATGTCGTTTCGTCTGGAAATGGCGCAGGTAGCAGCAACAGCGCGGGTCATACAAGACAGAGCGGCTCATTCAGTAGTATGCTTCGTCGCTCTTCACAAATAATGGGCCGAGGAGTTGCTGGTGTCGTAGGGTCCTACCTACCTCAATCCGTAACAGAAATGTGGGAACCTCTACGCGATTTCGCTTATATCAAGATACCAAAATCTACAGTTCCTTCGGGGACTTCAAGGGCTCTACGTGATGCTCCAGGAGGTCCCTTACGAAGCGTTGTAGCGATGAGTAGTAGCAGTCCCCAAGTAATGGTTGTCACTAGCGATGGCGGCTTTTACGTTTACAATATTGACATGGAACACGGCGGAGAAGGTTACCTGGTCAGGCAATTCTCGTAAGTACTTCTCCAATGCTGAAAAGACAGATGTACTGATTGTCGCGGTCAAAGTGTCCTGGAGGGTGACGACAAAAGCGACGCTTCAGGTTATGGAAACTAGCGTAGCCCTATAAAGGTCAACGGAAACCGATGCGACAATAGCAGATCAGCCTTGTGTTCTGCGCGAGGTTGATTAATGGAGCGGAAGCATTGCTACCGGCGTTCATCGGGTCTGGAATCTTTTTAACACTAATAATCTCTTTTGCGGTGGGATATCCTTTTCTCTAGTTAGTACCCTTTTTTGTTTGTTATACTTCCAAACATCGTCCACGGGTGTCGTCGAAAGGTACCAGCAATGGGCGGAAGGGGAGCGGAATAATTTGGTACAGAATATTCTGTCACTGGAAATGGCAGTTTCAACATTACAACTTAGAGGCAGCCATGAACTTTTCCACATAAATCCTGCCGTATGTACGTAGAAGGCAAAGAAGGAGCAGATATGCGTTCATCCAAAGCAATCCAAAGCAATCATAACCCATTGTGGTTCATCATTGTATCCAGTAAATCCGAACTTCAGGTGTGAACAAAAACGAACAAATACTGAGACACAAACCCAGGTACAAGCCAGAAAATAAAGCAACTAAGCAATTCAGCGGCCAAGCAACGCCAAAGAGAACAATCCTTTGAGGGTCTCCGTCTTTGTCCAGGACCAACAAGCGCCGATCCCATTTCGAGTCCCCAATCATTCTTTTATGCCAAAACGCGGTATATCAAAGACCAGTATGTCCAGTATTGACTATTCCGCAAAAGCACTCCAGGCACGCGCGAAATGAACCGACAGACAAAGTTCAAGAGTTGGTTCACACGGTTCCTCTAGCTGTGTGGTAATCTCGACCATAACACACGCCGGAAAGCTGCTGGATGCACCAACAATGCAGCTTTATCGAGAATATGGTCGGTTCATGAGTGCGATCTCCCGTGCAATCTCTGCCCACTCCAAGGTTCGTTTGACTTCGGCGTCTGGATCACCGTCCTGCTGGAGCGCCTCCTCATACTTTAAAAGTTCGTAGGCGAATCGAAGATGTGGTTGAATAATTACGTTCAAGCGTCGGGCTCTGACATAGCAATACGCATGAGGGAAAGACATTTGCTTCGATCGCATCACTTCGGCAATACAGATAGTAGCGCTGCGAGAAACTCCCACGCGGCAGTGCACCAATGTTGCAGTGCCATTTCGACGGCCCCGATCTGTTTCTCGCAATTAGTTTCCGCAAGTTTCATGGCCTCCTGCCGTGGCATAAGACTTACCAACAAACTCGAGACATCGAGTAAATTCCTCGGTCAATGGATCAATGCCATTGTCTTGAACACCCTGAACCACGCAAACATTCTCCTTGCCCCAATCCTCAAGGTCTCCCTCTCGCCACATGGCTGTCTCGCCCACACTCAGGATCTGAGTGATGCCAAGGGCCCGTAGGAGATCTGGATTATTAGCATGGCCCAGATTACCCAAGTACATGTAATCCAAGACTCGACTTGGGAATGATCCATCCAGGGCAGCAAACCAGCTTGGCTCATCCCTGGTCAAATGAGTGATGTCAGTCAGGCTCAGGCCTTTGCAAACAGGAGACTCTCGGAGCAGTCGTGGTGTGATTGAGGTTAATAATGCAACATCGGTGGGATAAGCGAAGAAATTCCGCTTCTTTTCAGTATGGAGTTTAAGCCATGCTTCAGGAACAGGCCGTCCCGTACTGTAGCTAAAATAGGCGATGCTCAACATAGTCGACTCAGTATAGCCATCAGCGCAATGGAGTAAGATCTTGCGAGGCTTGACGTCAAAGATAGGTTGCTGGTCTGAGGGCATAGGCGAGTCTCCCTCGGCGTCCAGATCATCTGTGCCCAATGCTGATTCAGGATCGGGATACGAGCCATGGGCGAGATGGTAGATCCATTTACATGTTTCAAGGATACCGTCTGCTTCGGAATGTGACCAGGTCGGTGGAAGAATACTTCCGGATGATGGGAAATCAAAGAATCGCTGCTTGTTGTCATCATCAGGGCTTTCAGCAATGAGCTGGAGAGCTAATGGGTTCAGCCGGCCAAGGTCGCTGCACTCAATCAAAATGTCATACTTCTGCTCTTCAGGGCTTCCCTGCTCAGGCGTAGGGCCCATGAAGACATTCTTGGAAAACTCGGATGCCTCCGTCATGGCCCACATCTCTCGTCTCTCTTGGTTGAAGAAATCAAGGACATTGCCTGTCAAGTGGCTGGAGGCGTCTACGGCCACTATTTCAGGGTGATTTTCTTCGAATTCTGAGAATGGACTTGTGCAAACAAAAGTATGATACTCGGGCATCCAAACACCCTGATCCTCATTTCTTTCGCGCCACCGCTTCTGTGCACTCGCGATATCCCATGCGACTTTACGAGTTTTGATCAAATCTCCACCATAGACGATTATGTCCGACAAGACTGCAGTTTTTACTGTCTGGATTTGGAAGTTCCTCACGGAAAACCCCTCACGAGGATCCGCATCAATAAACTCGGTGGGCTTGGTTGCTTGAACGATCTCATTCGGAGCAACCGCCCCCTTCAGCCGCGCACAGTTTAGATCTCCGTCAGCTTTGACAAGAGTGACAGATCTCAGGCAAGAGGGGGTGCGCCGAAGAGGCCTCCGTCGAGCAGCAAAGAAGGACTGCTGAACATGGTTCTGCGGGTGTAGGCCATGAAACCATGGGAAAACCAGAGCCGGGTCAGGCAGCGGTTGTCGTGACGCAACGTCCAGGGCCTGGGCGACATTTGATGCATCAAGCTCATAAATGGAAAGTTCGCTCGATTCAAGTCTTTTGAAGCCGTCAAGCGGATATAAAGCAGAGGTCTGTTGCAGCTGGTCTTGAGACGGAGGAGATGGCGGCGGAGTATGAGGCTCGTCTGGGCGAGCAGGTCCAGTAGGACATATGGGAAGATGCTTATTGGGGACGGGAATTGAGCATGGCGAAGTAGAACTAGAGCTAGATTCAAGAGAGAGTGGCGGAGTTATGGTAGACGAGGGACGGTGAGGCGGAATTGGTCGAGCGAGGGCGACGGTAGTCATATCAACGAAGGGGGGTAGATATGTAGCTTATGTTGGACAGCTTGTAATGGCAAGAAACAGTTCCGACTGGCGTAATCGAATTAGGGACTGGGCGGGTTCAAAAGCAGTATGTTATACAAAAATATGGCTCAGATGGGGTGTCTAGTAATTCGATCGGACAGTCAGACAGTATTTCGAGGCCGTTTTCAGACTAGAAATGCAATTTCCTCTCCGACTCAGCCCCCAAACCTTTGGGGAAACAGTAATCAAACGGACTCTTGGAAACAGATGCAAGTATAGACAAGGCATATACGGATTTGTTATTGCAAATGGGCGGGCGGCGAGCAATTGTTGCACATGCCTGAGCTCAGGATATAAGACAGAGCACAAGCAACAAAGCCACAGCGATCGCTGGGTGGAATGAGAATGATGGGATGGAGATTGCGGGTCAATAGATCCCAGAGAATTGGATTGGGGAAAGGGGAGTTGTGCTTATGAATGAATGAATGGTCAAGCAAAGACTCAGTCCCGAACGTACAATATCGTCGATGCCGCCGCGACGTAATGGCAGGGGCAGTGGCAGTGGTAATGGAAGAATATATCGATCGAATCGCCAAGAAGCTCGCAACGGCAGACAGTAGATAACAAAGCAGTAAGCGAGGCGATGACGCTTTGGGAATCGACACTGTTTTTAGCGAAATGGTTGATCGACGGCCGCAGGCGAAAGAAGTGAGACGGCTGCAAGCAAAAACACAATGGGAGGCACAGAGAGGGATGTCAGTAGTCTACCATGAAAATATTAAGCGATGTCATCGAGGATAAGACGAATACAATGACCAAGAAGATGAAGGAGGAGGAGAGTCGAGTAGAGAAGAGGGGGACGGACGACCACGGCCGGCAATCGGATGGATAGGTAGTCGATAGAGGATGGTTTCGTGATGGTGGTGGTGGTGGTGGTGGTGGGTGGTGGTGATTTGGTTTCGGTACTGTTTTTTGGCTTTGTTGGTTGGGTGATTTGGCAGCGCGGTTGGTTGGATGAGTGAGTGCATGGATGGCGAATGCTAAGTAAGATATGTAGGTAGGTATGTATGTATACATACTGATAAGGGTAAGGTAGTCCCTTTTGAAGGTGTGCTGGCCCAGTAGGTACCGCACTGCACAGTGTTTCCCTCAGCCTACCTATACCACGTAAGTGCATGCCCGAGTTATCTTGTATCTCGGTACAGTACTTACCAAGAAAAGGCTCGGTCTGCAGTAATTGACGAAGAGAATTGGCTGGCTGGTGTTTGCTGAATCACTTGAGACTGAGAGAACATCCAGACCCAAACCATCCACGGATTGCAATGTTGTGATAGTGGCCGAACGACCACAGGTGGTTTAGGGGCACGGACCAATCAAGCAAGACCAGCACCGGCATTCAGTGGGGAGCTGATGTTTGGCTTCCCGCTATAATTGGCGGGGAGCTGCGTCCAGAAGCGGGGAACTGCCTCCCACATCGCGCTAGGCTTTGGTCACAGTGCACCTTAGATCCAGAAGCACGGGCTGAACAACTAAGAGTCTCAGCATGATTGGCTGTGAAAGTAATGCAGGATTGAGGTTATCAGGCTGTGTGAAATGCGCAAGGATTAGGGACCAACTTACTTAGGGAAGGAGACACAATAGATTAGTAGGCAGATGGAGAATCTACTGATATCAGATGCGCTCGAGAACATGAGATCTTCGCAGCGTCGACCATATGCCAATGTGAGGTGATGTTGTGACAATGTGAGGCCAGTATTGAGGCGAAGTTCAGTGAGGACGCCACGGGCCAGACCCAAGACAAAGCCGCGGTGCATTAGCGCCCTGCTCTGAGGGCAGTGGAGGGTAGAGCTCCCTAGACTCCACCCTCTTGCTCTCCCCACCACCTTAAACTTAATGCTTCCCGTGCCGCCCATTCGCAACAGACCTCCAACTGCTATTCTACAGTCCTCCTTTGCGTTCACATCTTGGCCAACAATAAACACCTGAACGAACTTGTCCAAAATAGATCAACTATCCATCAATGCAATTTATTCATCGACAAGCGTCATAAACTATCCGTAGTCTCTGGCTCTATCATACCCACAACATGCATACTCCCAGAGTCACATCACACGATCAGCAGCAGTAAGTCAGCTAGCTAGGTACTTAGCTACCTTGCTTATCCTGGGATGTACCCTAGAAATCAGCATGGCTTGCAAGCGCCCTTCTCCGGACTCCACCCCTAACCCACGAAGACCCCAGAGAATCTCCTTATTCATCTTAGCATCCAGAGGTCTCGAACTACCGGCATTCGGTCTCAAACATCTAGGATACCAGAAGAGGAATCAAACCAGGTGAGGCTTGCGACTCAATGTCAATCATCCCTAGCGATAAGGCCACTAATAAGTGACAAAGTTACGCCAGACCTTGGATCCCTCACACAATATCGTCCCGTGCGATTTTTATGTTCCGAACCTCGTTATCTCATCGCGGATAACCATCTGATATAAGTGACCTATAGCAATCAACAATTCTGTTTCAGGAGCTGTTTCAGAAGACGACGCTGACGGAAAGCCATGTGCACTGTAGTCCTGTTTTGCTTGAGCGAATCTTTAGAGCGAGCCTTGATAAACCTGTGACAAGAAATAACGAAGGTTTATAATATCTCGATAGGTCTTTATACTCAGCCTCAGTGATTAGCCACTTTCTTGCGTGTGTGTCTACCTAGGTAGTATGAGAGACGGTATGACTTATTTGTTAAGGTATGCTCTCGGACGTCCTAAGCTGACTGATGTCAATATGCATAGTTCTTCTATACCAGCAATATTAAGTCCCGGGGCATTGCCATTTCAGTGACCTGCGTCACACCATCTAAAGTATGGAGGCACAGGTGACTCAATTGTTTCCCCTGATACTGGCTAGACTGGTAACTTGATGATTTGCGGCCGGGGGATTGGAGGCACCTTCTTGTACACCTCCAAGGCCGGCCAAAGAGTCATCATCTAGGTTTTCCCCTTATCAGCCTTGTGCTGTAGCAATTGGTCAGACATCTTGGTATAATGTCCAAGTTGTGAGCTTGGAGTGTTATTTGCCGTTGAGACTTATGGCTGAGAGCTTAATCCAGCCGAGAGAACCTAGTAACTTGATGATTTGCCTTACCTTCACCTCCACCTTGGGTGGAGGTACCCTTCGGTGTAATGGGTCCTCACCGAAAGCTGTCTCGGTGACATCAGCGCCCCGGCACGTGACCTCGCGACGCTCAGCTTTGATCACACAGAAGTTCACGTCACGCCTTATGCCCTCTGCCATCTTTGTCGCTGCCCATCTCTTACACCTGCAATAATTCGCCGAGGGCTTGCCCCGGTAGTTAGCCATCGGGTCATCATGAAGTTCAATATCGAGTACGACATCCTTTCGCCTCGGGAACCCCCTTTAACTCACATCATCTAGTGACTTGCCTGTGCTATTCCCTTATCCCAGGATATACCCAGGTACGCATTAATAAGCGCGTGTTTCACTTGCCACAGCTGACTCGGTTTTCTCAGAGCAATATGCGTGAGTTGTTGGGCGCCGTGGTGTCCGAATGGATGAGATAGACTAACCGTGAGGCGCATTAAGTTACATGTGTGATCTCAAAAGTACTTACCCCTTCTATTGCTGAATTGCATCGTGATTACTGACATGATCGCCCATCACACCAGAAACACTAGATGCAGGGGGCCACTGTGTTCTGGAAATGCCTTCGGGCACAGGCAAGACCGTGTCACTTCTGTCTCTCATTGTTGCGTACCAACAATACATGCCTGAAAGGCGCAAACTGATCTACTGCTCTCGTGAGTGACTCTTGACCTTACCCTGCTATTGCTGACTCATGCCTTAACAGGTACCATGTCCGAAATTGAAAAGGCATTAGTAGAGCTGAAGTCTCTCATGAAATACCGAGCCGAGCAGCTCGGTTATGAAGAAGAGTTCCGTGGTCTGGGCTTGACGAGTCGAAAGAACCTGTGTCTTCATCCTTCAGTCAAGCGTGAGAAGAGTGGTGCCATTGTTGATGCTCGTTGCAGGAGTCTCACGGCCGGTTTTGTCAAGGAAAAAAAGGAACGTGGAGAAAACGTAGACGTCTGCGTGTATCACGACGTAAGTCTCAAAGAACCTCAATTTTCCTCACCTATTCCATCCTGAGCCAATGATACAGAACCTAGATCTTCTCGAGCCTCACAATCTGATTCCTAATGGCGTCTGGTCTTTCGATGACATGATTCGATACGGTGAAGAGCATAAGCAGTGCCCATACTTCACTGCACGCCGAATGGTGAGTATTTCCCAAATCCCTATGGGCCTTGCTTTAGTGATTCTTATTCTCTGCTTCAGATGCAATACTGCAACGTAGTCATATTCTCCTACCACTATCTGCTTGACCCCAAAATCGCCGAACGGGTATCAAAGGACTTTTCCAAAGACTGTATCGTTGTTTTTGATGAAGCTCACAACATTGACAACGTTTGCATCGAATCTCTCAGCACAGATATCACAGAGGACTCTCTGCGTAAAGCCACAAGAGGAGCTCAGAATCTAGAGAACAAGATTTCACAGATGCGGGATACCGACCAGCAACAACTACAGAATGAGTATGAGAAGCTAGTTCAGGGACTGCGTGATGCTGACGAGGCACGTAAAGAAGATGCCTTCATGGCAAATCCTGGTAGGTTCTAAAGAGAAGTCTACTTACTTAGTTGCAATGTGCTAACCGTTCCGCAGCCCTTCCCGAAGATTTACTTAGAGAGGCTGTTCCAGGAAACATTCGGAGGGCAGAACACTTTATTGCTTTCCTCAAGAGATTCATTGAGTATCTGAAGACGAGGATGAAAGTGCGCCAGGTCATTTCTGAAACACCGCCTTCGTTCCTTGCCCATCTCCGAGAGCATACTTTTATCGAGAAGAAGCCTTTGAGATTTTGCGCTGAACGTCTGACATCGCTAGTCAGGACCCTTGAGCTCACCAATATTGAGGACTACCAGCCTCTTCAGGAGGTTGCAACTTTTGCAACGCTGGTGGCAACGTACGAGAAAGGCTTTCTCCTTATCCTTGAGCCCTTTGAGTCCGATACTGCTGAAGTGCCTAACCCCGTTCTTCACTTCACATGTCTTGACGCCGCCATCGCTATCAAGCCCGTCTTTGATAGGTTCTACTCTGTCATTATCACGTCTGGTACCATTTCCCCACTGGAGATATACCCGAAGATGCTGGATTTCTCAACTGTCATACAAGAATCCTATGCCATGACCCTCGCTCGGAGATCCTTCATGCCTATGATTGTCACTCGAGGCAGCGATCAGGCTTCCGTCTCAACCAGCTTTCAGGTGCGGAATGAACCCAGTGTGGTTCGAAACTACGGCAATCTACTCACTGAATTTGCCAAGATCACGCCGGATGGGATGGTTGTCTTCTTTCCGTCTTATCTTTATATGGAATCTATCATTAGTATGTGGCAAGGAATGGGTATCCTTGATGAAGTTTGGAAGTACAAACTGATCCTGGTGGAAACGCCCGACGCACAGGAAACATCGCTTGCCCTGGAGACGTACCGCACAGCGTGCTGTAACGGCAGAGGAGCTGTTTTACTCTGTGTTGCCCGAGGAAAGGTATCCGAGGGTATCGATTTCGACCATCAATATGGTCGTACTGTGCTATGCATTGGAGTCCCATTCCAATACACCGAGTCACGTATTCTCAAGGCTCGTCTTCAGTTCTTGAGAGAAACATACCGCATCAAGGAGAATGACTTCCTCTCCTTTGATGCAATGCGACACGCCGCCCAGTGTCTGGGCCGAGTCTTGCGTGGGAAGGACGACTATGGAATCATGGTTCTTGCCGACCGGCGATTCCAGAAGAAGCGCTCACAGCTACCCAAATGGATTAACCAAGGCCTCCAAGAGTCAGACGTCAATCTGAGCACCGACATGGCCGTCAGTAGCGCAAGGCGATTCCTTCGGACAATGGCACAACCGTTCCGGGCGAAAGACCAGGAAGGCATCAGCACCTGGGGATATAAGGATCTGATGGAACATAAGGAGAAGATGGATCTAGAGAGGATCAAGGAGCTTGAGGAGGAAGCTCAACGGCCAAAGCCTGCCGCGCAGGACAACAATTTTGAGTACGATGATGACGAGTTCGACCAGGATATGATGGAGATGGATGGCTTCTAAACTTGTTCGAGCCTGCGATACCAGACTTTAGCCAGTTAAGACTGCAAGGCCAAAAGCATATCAAGTTGTGGCATATTATTCGAATTAATCAGAGAATGCTAAACCCCGTCTAAAGCTGGTTACATAACTCCTTTGCAGTGCTGATCCATCTTGAACAAAAATCTAACTGAGCCTTATTTTTGGTTGATTCCAAACACAATGCCAGAACGCCGAATGCTGTCCGTTCGCCCAACTCGGGCATACTCAATCAAAAGAAACGAAGGACAAAACAAGGATATCATCTGCTCTATGCGTTAAAAGTAAGAACAATGATCTAATCTACCAAAAGTCTCTTGGCAGCTTTTGTTGCTCGGAGGGCAGGAATAGAATGTGCCCGACCTGGCTTTCGTCCAATCTCGATGCAGAGCATTCGGATAAAATCATGATTAGTCCAATAGCTGGAGTGCGCACTGAGCATGTTGAGGTACTGTATCTCCAAAGGCCCTCCCCCAGAACGGAGGTACCAGTCGATTTGCCCGTTGTCGTTAAGCAGAAATGCCTTTCTCTCCGCAATCTCCTCCCGGGTAAAGTCGTGCACCTCAAGTTCTAACTGAGAGGGCAATCGGATTGTTGAAGGACGCTCCGGCTCCGGGACAAGAGGGTTGGGTGCTGGTGCCATGCCTGGTACCACTCCTCGCATTGCGGCGCCGACAGACTTCCACAGAGAACCCGAAATGCTAGGGACGTAAGCCTTTTTGAGACTCGCCGCGTAGACAGGGTCCACGGCGCCATTGAGCAGGTACGCGATAGGATCTTCCTTGGCAAGGATGTTGTATATGTTGTCCACAGCCAAGCAGCCAAAAGTCCCGGCCTCTGCTACGACGTCTTTCGATACGATGTCGTTCGAATCAGCTCCGGGCTTCATTCGACCATGGCGAGGCATCAGGACACCACGCTCCAGAAGAAGAAAGAACCCCGCAGGGCTGCCCGCCAGGAAAAGATTCTTGGTATCAAACTCGAAAAAACGTGTCTCGGGTTCCTTTCGAGACCAGTCTAGCCTTGGCGCTGTGTTTGGTTGATTTGAGAGAATCTCAAGAGCCATTGCACTCCCAAGGGAATGTCCGATCATGTGGACGCGTCCATTCTCAGCAAAACCTGGATTGTTACGGCACCAGAGTCGATAGACACGATTTGCTTCTGATACAAGAGCCTGGATCATTTTCCCTTTGTGGTGTGACATGTAGAAGGGGATGTCGAACATGATGTCTGATATCATGCTGCGAACGGCTGGAATCGTGTCAGGTTCGATATC